GGGCCTTTGCCGTTGAGCCAGCCCGGCCACATGCCCCGGAAGCCGTTTTCGGCCAGCGCTGCCTCTTCGGCTTTGAAACGGAGGTGAGCACCGCCCCCTAGAGTCGGGAACGACTATGTGCAAAGGGAACCTTTACCCTTACTAGTCCTACACACTGGTAATCCTTGGCTTGCCACAGTTCACTTAGTGACCACTTACAACAGCACTAAGCAACTTATGTTTTTGATAAGTATTGTTGCATCAAATTGAAACGCTTCGCAACTGTCTCATATTTAAGCGATTCCCTTTTGCGACCTAATGAAAAGCAACGTCAACGGGGAAGTCAAGGTTCCCTTTATCGTTGCGTTACTAAATTCGGTGCTGCAATGATTCATTTAACAACGGTGCCAGGAAAGGTTGTAAAAACAGGGCCAAGATTGACTTAACAAAAATATCTCCCTTGTCAATGTAGTTTTTGGGCTCAATTGTGCCCATAAGCGGAAGACTACCTCCGCAGACTTAAAGGCCTAGCCAAAATCCAACATCAATTCTCTTAAAATATCTTGAAATACGGACTCACCTTTCTTTAAAGTGAATCCATTGCCTGTAAGGTAGAAAAAGAAAACTCAAATTAGTAAAAAAAAAAGGAAAGAAAGACATTTGTGTGAGAGAACCGTGGCCGATCAGGGCTTTGGTAACTCAATTGCCATTTGACTTAAGAGTCGTCCAATAACAGAGGTCATCCTTTCAAAGGCCAAAAGTCACAAAACACAATGGACCCACAACCTTCAAACTCACCTCTAAGAACTCCTGCAGGGCGCATCTTAACCATCGCCGAATCTTTCCAGGTTCCCTGCCGTGTGCCCTGAAAAAAAGGAAAATTCAAAAATTATACATTTTGGCTCCAAGCGGATCGCCTTAAATAATAATAATAATAATCAGGATTTTTGCGTGTTCTCAGGCGGTTAAATTAACATCACCCACAATCAGACATATGCTTGTCTATTTTACGCTCATCACGGAACACAGTAAGGACATTTTAAAGTGCCTTTGGTAACTAATAATCCAGATTTTTAAAGGCTGTAAGCCAGCTAGAAAACAGTAAGCAGTAACAGAGCTGGAAGGGACCTGGGCGGTCATCTAGTCTCACCCCCTGCTTACGCAGAAAACCTGTAATGAGGATTAGAACTGCCGACCTTTCTATCAGCAAACTCAGTGTCTTAGCCACTGAGCCATCTAGACAGGAACTGTATTGAAGGGGTTCCAATTTTTGTAGATTACATTATAGTCCTCGATTTAAAACCATCCATATAAGGACCGTTCAAAGTTACGACAGCATTCAAAAGTGTGACTTACAATTCACTTACAATACGGCATCCCCATGGTGCATCATGTGATCCCTTTTGCGACCTTCCACGAAGCGAGATTCACTTAAGAACCGTGCTACTAAATTAACAGCCGCAGTGATTCACTTAGCCACTGCGGCAAGGAAGGTTGTAAAGTGAGGAAAACAGCTCGCTTAACCACGGCCTTGTTTAGCAATGGAGATTTGGGAGGGGGAGTTTCAATTATGGTCGTAAACCGAGGACTACTTGTAGCAGAGTAAAATAGCTTTAAAAATGATTTTTAAAATGGACGTTCTGTACTTTTTACTTACTTTTAACACAGAGACATCCGTGCTGCTGGAAGCTGCAAAACAAGAATAGGAAAAATGTATATATATATATATATTTCTTGTCATCTAAACCTGACAAAGCCTTTTTATTAAGACAATAGTTTTCTGGAATCCAGTTGGTCAATCCTCCTTTGTGGGGGGGGGGGAGAGAGAGCCACTCAGATCCGTTTTAATTTCTCCATTAAACCATCAGAAAGAGAGAGTTCTGGATCTCTTCATTGTAGCCTTCCCCGACTTCAAACCAACTCGTGGAGATATATAAATCTCAAGTTACCTCCTTCAAACGTTTAATATTCTCTTGGTTATTTCTTTTTATTACTACATTTCAGTGCAGGATATTGAAATGGGTTACAGATAACTACTGTGCAAAAGTTGTAGGCAGGTGTGAAAAAATGCTGTAAACGAAGAATGCTTTCAGAAGAATAAATAATGTTTATTTTCTGTCCATTTCCAAAATGCAAAGTGAGCGATCGAAAGAAAAATATAAATCAAATCAATATTTGGTGCAAACGCCCTTTTGCCTTCAAAACAGCAGCAATTTTTCTGGGTTATTATACACCGAATTATTGAAGGAACTCAGCTGGTAGGTTACCCCAAATATCTTGGAGAACTAACCACAGATCTCTCGTGGATGGAGGCTTTCTCACATCCTTCTGTCTCTTTGTGTAACCCCAGACATACCGGATGATGTTGAGATCAGGGCTCTGTGCAATCACTTCCC